TTAACAACAACCACCTTGCAAGTGCCCGCAATTATCTCTGCTCTGCAGAACCCCAGGCTCAAGAAAGAGGAAAGGCCTGGGAAAGGTAGAGCCAGGACTTGAGCCAAGGTCTTGCAGTGACAACCTGCAGTGCCGGATGAAGCGCTGACCACAGTGGCTGAGGAAGGTAAAGGGTGAGATGAGCATTTTCATCAGGCCTTAAGGGATGTGCTGAGAGGCAAATTTCTAAGTAGAAGAAAACAAGAATAGATGTTTTATAATCATGTTTTATAACTAGATTTTTTAAAAGTGAATTGGGTTCCCCAAGATAGAACTGCCGGATTTAGCAAATAAAAACACACAGCACAACATATTTGAGACACTTAAACCTTAAAAAAAAAAAAAAGGAAGAAAAAAGGTTTATCTGAAATTCCACTTTTACTCAACACCCAATATGCTAGCTGGCACCCCTGGAGCAAAGGCCTTTATGGAACAAACAAAAACCATCAAGAAATTGCAGTGCCTCAATTCCCCAAACTCCACCAGGCTGGCCTGTGCATTGCATACAAGTCTTTCAGAGGCTGAGGAGAGGGCAGTGCAGTAGGCTCAGCTGCTCCTCACAGAGCATCTTCTTTTTTTTTTCCCCCTGGTGGCAGACACAGCCCTTGACCCCCAAGACCCGGCTTTCACTAACCGGGCCATTTAATCTCACTGCCCATTTAATTTCCAGTCCCTTCTCCATTTCATGTGGACATGGTGGGGATTAAACGTAACTGAGCTGAGGCTATGACACACGTGCCTCGAGTATTTCCTGCTCACTGAGAGCGTCAGATCCCCCTACCAAAAGAAGCAGATCAAAAATGCAGTAACTGTAACAGTTTATGGTGTGTGCTCCTGACGGCTGCCCGCCTGTGTCCAAAAGGAGGGGGAAAAGGAAATCCAGAAATGTGTTCCCAACAGAACGTGATCTACGGAAAGTGTAGTGAGATGCCAAAGGGCGCGCCCAGCAGAACAGTGTGCAGCCTCTAAGGGGTCTACGGTTCACAGAAGCATCTAAAAACCGTCACCTTTCATCACAAATCCTACTGAACCACAAACACACATTCACACACACACAGTACAATACAAAAAGAGAACTTTATTTACACATGCCAATTTTGCTTTCTGCTATTTCCTCCAATCTCTGCCTAAATGTTTGCCTTTGTGTAAAAAGAAAAAAATTAAATATATATTTAAACATATATATATATATATATATATATATATATATA